ATGCTCGGGCACTGAGAACTGTGACTTGGAGAGTGACACACATCATTAGCAGCTCTCCTGTAGCCTGGGTTCCTCACGGCTAGTTCTCAGCCAATAATGGGGAAGCTCAGCAAGCACTTCTGGGAAAATAATGACAACTGCAGAAAATAGTGCAGACTATATCTAAGCTGACCTAGCTGGTGGAAAGGTGTATACTGGGGAAAATACAAAGGTTTATTCCATAAATACAGGGTCTTCCAATCTTCCAATATGAAGAACTCAGCTTAGTTTCTTCACCAGCCCCTTTTCCCTAGAGCCCGTCACCATCGACTTGAATGTTCTTGCAAAACTGTCTGGCAGCTAGTTAGGGAGGCTGAACTTTCTAAAGCGGCCCATATACAAATTACTTCGGCTACATTATTCACGTCGCATCACAGGTCATGTGGTTGCCTTCTCAAAAGAACTTATAAAGTAGGAGTCTTCTGATTTCCTTTTATCTCCTGGACGTTGTGGAGTCTTTTCTAACCCTCTTTCCTCCGTTTTTTTTCTTTCTAACCTCTCATGATTCTCTCTCTCTTCCTTCCGGGCTATTAGATTGCCTTATTTCTGAGAGTCAAAAGGGCCAGGAAAAGGACTCGGACTTGTTGATAAAAAAAACAGTGTAAAGTGGTCATGCATGATTTCAAACTTTCCAAAGGACTGATTCTACATAGTTTTTAATATCCAGAAATTTTTAAGTGAATAAAGATCTGTAAGCTTACACCTCACTCTAAAAGACACCAAGCTGCCCTGCTTTAATCCTGTCATCCCCAGAAGGATCTGCAGGCCGGTGTCTAACCACAGCACATCCAAGAAGTGCAGATAAAATAGGAGGGAAGACGCACGGCTCCAGTAGGCTGTTACTTGCCAATGAGTCATGATTAATACCCAGATCCTTCTGCTGTAGCTTCCCGGTTAGTCTGCTGTGTATTTGCAGGGGCCGTCAACACTTGAATTTCCTAATAGAAACGGTTCTTTGCTCTCAACTCTGCGAGCTCTAGCCCTGTGGTGCTCATCGCTGAAGCCAGCAAAGCTTGTCATCAGTGTGGGCTGGAGTTCCTTGCAGGCAGGGGACTCTGGATACACCAAAGGTAAAACTGCCACCACGATCAGGAAAGTGACTCAGCCAACAGCATACGTGAATCATCTTCCCATTTGCTTAGGAGAGGCACTAATACGCTTCACTTCAAAGATGTACATGGCAGAAACAGATAGGCAGAATTTTTCCTTTCAGAATGTCTCCTGAACTTTGCAGCCCTTTACTGCAGTTCTTCTGTCTATGCCTGAGCCAATCCAGGCCTGAAGCAGGAAGAATGTGTACGATCCCCCATCCTGCACAGGGCACCCAGGGATACAAGCCTGAGGCCTCCAGTGCACCTCAGCTCATGGGCCTGGATTTCTGCTTTGGCCCTCGCTCCAACCTCCAGCCTGACAACGACGAAACTGCCACCCATGCCCAATCCTCTCCCTGCCCTGCTCCATACTCACACGCCCTCTGTTTACATAGGGAGAGAGGGCACAGTAAACACTGCAAGTTTCCGTGAATTTCAACGATGCTAAACTAAATAAGAGTTCAAACACAGTTCTTATAGGAAAAAAAATATCTTGGCAACATCCCTGACGCCTTTAACTGAATCTGGCTGGACCTTCTGGAGGTGAAACCAGAAGAACACGGGGTGTATTTCCAGCTCCCAGAAATCCAAAATGGAGAGCCACAATCCAGAATAAAGAATAGCCGGGATAAATGAGCTCCATAACCAGAGACAATTCCCAAAGCTCATTAACGGCCTTTATATCTCAAATTATTCCTCACACATTTTTTTTTTAAAGAACTGTGTAGCACAGACGACCAAATTGGCTTACCCTTCTTCTCCTTCCTCTGCCTACTGTTTGGTAGAGGTTTTAAAAGAAATAAGTGTTTTTATGTTATGTGAATTATATGTCACTTAAAAAAAAGAAGAAGAAGAAAGAAGCGGCCAAAATATGAACAGCTGGGGATAGAAAAGAGGAAAAGCAAAGAGCCTAGCTCAGCAGCAGCAGAGCAACAATTAGCTGGAAACAAGCAGCAGCTGTCCCCTTCAGCCGGGCCACGTGGTCACCAGGTTGCCTCAGACACCCCCCCACCCCCCCACCCGCCCCCCCCAGCCCCCCCACCCCAGCCCTGCTTCATGAATTTATGGTTCCTGCCTGGCCTTTGTAAGCAGTGGAGTTTGCAATCTCAGGGGTAGACAATACAAAAGCTAAACAATCAATCTTTGACTAACTGATTGAATTGCTTTTCTATTTCTGTTGTAACAAATTACCACAAACTTAGAGGCTGAAAACAACATAAATGTATTAGCTTACAGTTCCGGAGGTTAGAAGTCTGACATGGATCTCACTGGGCTAAAATCAAGTTTAGAGCAGAGCTGTGCTCCTTCCCAGAGGCTCTAGGGGAGAATCCACTTCCTTGCCTTTTCCAGCTTCCATTTCTTGGCCCTTTCTCCAGCTTCAAAGCCAGTAACACAGCATCTCTCTCTGACCCTGCTTCTGCCCTCACATCTCCTTCCCCAACTCTCCTCTTCTGCTTCCGTCTTCCAGTTTAAAAGGACCATGATGGGCTTCCCTGGTGGCGCAGTGGTTGAGAGCCCACCTGCCGATGCAGGGGACACGGGTTCGTGCCCCGGTCTGGGAAGATCCCACATGCCGCGGAGCGGCTGGGCCCGTGA